TCTGTGCCTTTCCTTGTTATGGAAGCAGTAACAGAAGATACTTGAGCCATCTGTAACCTCACCTTTTCTGTAATTTCAAGAAGGTCCACCACTATTTATAAAAATCTCTTCACAGACCAAAACTGAAAGGAATATTAGCAGTTTATTCTCCACTCATATTTCAGTGCAATTCAGTTTCTAATCATCCTTTATACAGTGATATACCTTCCGTGGCTCCTACTTTTAGAGATGCTACTGATGACCAATAAGCTCTTAGCATTATTAGCTGTACTGCCCTTATGTGCCATAATCCTACCACAGTTTTTTCTTTTTCTTCTGGAAACAAGGCTTGTGTTATATTCTCAAAGTAAATCTATTGGGTAGAAATTCTGTCGTAATACAGTGTCCTTCTGTCTCTGGAACAATGCAGCTGGTGTCCTTATTAAAGGCGTGACACGCACTTTAGAGTGACATATTATTTGTTCTAACATCTTTCCAGTGCTTTCTACTAGTAGGAGGCTGTGCCTTCAGCATTTAAACCCATGACCTAAACTGTGGACACCTATATCAGGCCATTCACTACTTTCACTCAGCTGTCTCCTTCAGGCCAAAATCAGCAATCACACTTTGGCATAAGATCTCTCCACAGGAAGAATTTATTGTGAGTTTATACAGGCCTAGAATATTTTAATCTCACTACCATGTCAACAGTGTCTTTTTGCTTCTGGTTTCAGTCAAAAAGCCAAATCCACAGCAGAGTTAATTTATTCTCTGTAAAAAAAAAAAAAAACCAATTTCTGAGTAGATCTGCTGTGTAAATAATAAAAATTAGAATTGCTGTCATGTCCAGAACCTTTTATCAGTAGGTATTCTCCCATGTTAGAAGCTTAAGTAGCCTAAGATATACATTCACTGCCTTGAAAAAATAGGACCTTTCTGCTAGTGATGACATTTGTGATTCTACTCATATCCAGTAACAACAGAGCATTTAGGTAAATTCCTCTTAAAAGTAGTTTTTTCTTCCCTGAAGTGGTGATTATTTGGCACAAGAAACAAAACATACAGGTGATTCTAGAAGACCTGAGTCAGAACTAGGCACCTGGAATCTGAACATTGCCTTAGAGAGTCTTGGAGTGGCCAATCTGTAGTTGCATTCTCTGAAATCTCTTTTACTGCCTTTAGCCAGTTCTGGGAATTAGTAATTTCTGTCTTTGATGGCTTATTCATGCAAAAATTGTAAGAAGTTGTTCTGATTTAAGGCACCTGGCAATTCATTCATGTCAGCTCAATTATTCTTGCATTTGTGCTTAATATTGAAAAATCAGACACTTTGACTATTCACATTATTTCTTTGTAATTTGTATGTCCCACAACTTCCCTTAGCTTATTTTTACCAATCTTGACCTTCGCATTCTTCACAGTGGTAGGTGTCTGAGTATCTCTTAAATTTTTCTTTATTTTTAAGCATTTTCCTATCACTCATACTATCTTTTCAACCTAATTTCTATAGTTACTAAACAGTGATCTTCCTGTAGTAATAAATACTAGAAATATTAAGATGAATAAAACCATATACTGCAAGACTGCCCAGACAGAGATGGATTTCACAAACAGAAACTACCGAGTTATGTATTTTTTTACTGAATTATGTTGGCAAAAACAGGTTAACTTACTAGTTTACTTTGTTTTATGGCTGATGGTTGACAGCCCAATGTGTGCCACCAAACCATTTTATCTGCTGTTATTCACTCAGAGAATACAGAAATAATGAGCCTTTATTGCTCCAGTTCTTCAGAGCAGATTCAACACTTGGAGATTCTTGGACCACTAGTATGCATACACCAAATAATGTACCTGGGCTGAGTACAAAGATGTAGACACTAAGCAAGTTCTCATTTTAAGTAACTTTGAGTTTTATTCTATGGAGTTATGGCAATTATATGCCAGTACAGGATTTGATCCAGAAGATCTGTTCCAGATATTGATCCAACATCTATGTCAGAATCAAAATAATGGTATTAGTCAGAATAGCAACATTAGATAGAAGAAATAATTTTGTAGAACTTCACTCATGGCACCTGACCATGACTTCTGGATACTTTTCATTCCGAATTCTGTATCCATCAACCCTACCTTTTTCAGTTTAGACCTCTGTCTTCGCCTTTAAACTGGAATTCAGGCAAACACTCCAAATTACCAGGAAGTCACATGTTTTGAACGAGATCCTGGCAGCTGCAGTCCTGCAAACAACCCTGCTTCAAGCATGGCACAAATGCTATGGGTCCAGATGAAACCCAAAAACAGATACCAGATGTAAAATACCAAAACCCAGTCTGGTGGTAGAAAAAGAAGAGCTATCTTCACATCCTGAATCCCAAATTTAAAATTAATCCTTAAGAGTAAAATGCACTGAAAAACTGCCATTTACTTAAAGAATGGAATGATCTGATCTTTTTCACTTTGACAAGTTGTTAGTGAAATTTTGTAGTGGTTTTTTTTTTTTATCTTGATAGTTTTGTAAACATGCGATTGTTTGAAAGCAAAACAATTGATTAGAAAAATAATTGAAATCTGCTTTCATTTTTTTTTTATTCTTTTGAGTGGATTGTCTGTAGTGCCAGGTATAATAACAGAAATGCATGGTAGTGCTAACAGGTCAGAAAATAGGTGTGAGTGGTAAATAATGCCTTGATTTAATAGTTAGTAAAGAAAATGCATGCAGTCTCCTCGCTGGAAGAATCAAAGGGATCAAGACCAGGGATAACTGTTAAGGAGGATGGGCAAAATCTTTTTAGCATTTTTTCCTTTAATTTCAATCACCGTTAACTTTGGAAAACATGATCAACCTTGTATAAGTGTAAATAGGTAGTAGGACTACATAATATAGCATCAAGACTATAGTTCAAACAGACCGAAGAGATTATACCTACCAGTGAAGTAAATGCCAGACACCCTGAGCTGTACTCCCTGCTCTGACTGTAACACAGTCTATAGACTTCACCTATTTTTCTGTTACCTTACCACCTTCTGATAGTAAAAGAGAAGATAATAAATTGCTTATTTACAGTACCTGGCTTACCACTGTGATTAGTTAATGTTTGCAGATTCTGAGGACTAGAAGCATTATAACTAACAAACATTATTAAAATATTACTTGGGATAACTTGCACATCAGCCCCAGTCACTACTCTGACACCGAGATGGGAGACAGATACTTACTTTGGTGTCTAGAATAAATTTAGTGAGACAATTAATAGTAATTTTTATCCGGAAATACAGATTTTTTGTTTTATAGACCACACAACAGGTTTAAGGCCTGACAAATACTACATAGATATGAATTCTAGAAGGACGGGAGGTGGGTAACAGAAACTTTCACGTTTATTACAGACAAAGCATGATGCTATAAATCAGCTTGTCTTACATATATATGTAGTGTGTTTGGGTCAGAAAACCCAGAAAGGAGCTTCTGAAACAAAATTTCTCATATGAAAATTCTGGAAGTATTTTTGGTAACATACATGAAATTGCTGTGCTTGAAGGTGACCTATGTTAAGTGTACAATGTACAAATTTATATCCTGCAAACCAGCTTAGTGCCTTTAGCACATCAGTAGATTTCCAGTTTTACAGAAAGGCCCAGAGCTATAACAAATTATGAAAATAGGGCAAAGTGACAGCTACCAAGATCTGCATAGCAATAGGGTGCTACCAGGGTACATCTGTAATAGGCAGGAAAGATTAACAATTTTCATCTGATCATGTTGCCCATCCTCAGAGTAACTTGGAAACTGCTCTCTACTGCACGATTGCGCAGCATCACTGTCTTGAGCTCAGGAACACTTAATTATCTATTTTGCTGCTGGGCAAGGCACATGTGACTGAAAAGTACCTTCTATTGAGAATGAATCCTCCTATCTTACCTCAAAGTCTAAACAAATTAATATCCAATAGATTAATTCACTTGGGGAAAAAAAAAAACCACATAGCTGGTATACTACCTGAGCTCCACTGGCATTAGCTTCAAATTTTAAGAAATCTTCTTTCATACACTCCTGTGAGGAACAGGAATGGGTTACTTCCACAAGACTGAAAACCTTAATTAATTATAGAGTACATTTTTAATAGCACAAGGCACTTTCTGTGTATTCTGCTGTGTATCATATTTTACATCTCATTTTCCTATTTCTAATGATTAATTCATGAGGTATCAACAAAACAAATCTTTTATGACAAACAGCTATAACTGACATTTAATGAGAATTTTTACTACTGTAGTTCTATGTTGAATCAGAGCATATGTCCAAGATTTTGGACAGCTTGTATCAGCTTCTCAAGTGAAGGAGAAACCTGAGATTAAAAAATTGTCTTAGATACTCTGAAAATAACAAAGAACATCTGTGCTGCCTCCCCCCAGCTTAGCCCAGCCTCAAAATCAACTTCACTTTACGAAATCATTCAAAACAGGGCTCTAGCTAGAAAACAAGCTTTCTTGCATTGCTCTCTATCCCACAGGTCCACTAAAAAAAGCCACACACCTTTCCAAATGAGAATGTTGGTTTGCACAATGTAAAATAATTCAGATGACTACAACATGACGCTTGGGTACATAATTAGAGGCATCACGTTACTGTATTAATAGGAACTGAAGAGGGCCTCTATTTGCAAAAGTCACATGGTTTGTGGATAAGAAATAACAGATGGAAATGAAGAACTGATAGGAGGATGACAGAATGGATACTAGCCTTTTACCACACACATCTTCTGACATTCTTCTCGTGTTAGAAAGTTGTTCTCATTGCCATGGCATCCACCATATTCAAATATTTCACACTCACGGCTTTGAATATTGAAGTAATAGCGTATGTGGATTGCTTTGCAAGGACCTTCATCTGCTTTCATGGCACAGACTGAATGCCCTAGTTTCAGTGGTGGCAAAGGAGCACCTGTAGTAAAGAAGAGAAGTAGAATAACTGTTAAGTCAGTTTGTTTCACTGCACAGCACAACTTCACAATGAGATTGCTTGTGTCTTCTGCTAGAGAGGCACTTCATAACATCTGTCTGTAAAGCTCTGAACACACTAAACATAGACATAAAAAGAAAATAATCGTCTGCGTTGGAACACAAATTCTATTCAATCAAGCCAAATGTGTGGTTTAAATTTTCAATCAAAACAGCTCATGTTATAAACTTTAACTCCTCATCATAAATCTCTAAACAGCTATGGATAGTGGCTTAGTCACAGGACCTGGTGAACAACAGCGAACAACAAATACACTGAGAAAACCCCAGCAGCTCCCAAAGACACAGTGACTACCCCCGCATAAAAAAAGGCAAAAAAAGGGTCCCTTGTGCTCTCTTCCATGCACGTCTAACAGTGAACACAGCTCATGAAGACAGAGCAGTGTGGGATGAACTAAGAAAGCCAGCCCTGCAGAGGGCACCATTCCCCTATAAGATTACATGTTACTGGCACTAAACCCATCTGGGACAACTGAAAGGTCATCATACTGTCTTATGTAAAAGGATGAGGTCAAGAGTTTACATGATCACTGCATTAACTAGATTAAGTTTCCAATTTTTAATTAAAAGAATCCACAAAAATAATACTTTATGACATGGCAAAAAGGAAATTAGTATTACTACTACCCACCTGCTTGGTGGATTATCTAATTTTAACATAAAAAATGGGCTTAATTATATAATCTTTAAATGAAATGAAATGACACAAGGTTTACTAACATTATTCCACTTAAGCCATTTATAACTATTAAACCTACAGGAAAGAAAGAATTTTCAGCACTAAAATCTTTTAACTTAGAGCATTTAAATCCTTGAAAAATTCATAATCTTTATTACACAATTAACATCAACACAAAATTGCAGAACACAATTAGGTCTTCCAAAAACAAACAATTCAGTGTTAAAATACAGGTTAAGATGACTAATTTCAAAATTCTCATTAAAATTCATCTTTATTACACAATTAACATCAATCCAAAAATTGTAGAACACAATTAGGTCTTCCAAAAACAAACAATTCAGTGTTAAAATACAGGTTAAGATGACTAATTTCAAAATTCTCATTAAATATTCAGTGCCTAAAATAGTCTGTGCCTGTTTCCTCATTAGTGAAATTAGATTTACAGATACTGAAGTTAGGAAAATAGATTTGAAAATATTATTAAAAACTGCCTAATAGGAAATTTGGATGAACTAAAAGAAATATTTTTAAGAGACATTAGGTTGAGTAAACTTCCTACGGAGCCCACCTTGCCAAACAGATGTCTGAAGTGGATGAACTAAAAGAAACATTTTAAGAGACATTAGGTTAAGTAAACTTCCTATGGAGCCCACCTTGCCAAACAGATGTCTGAATTTTGTTTCTTGCCAATTTCCTCATCTGGGTCTTCCTGAGCCCATGAAGAATTAGCATCTAGATGTCACAAGAGATTCCAACTTGGATCTCAGAGGTCTAAAGTTCTCTAACAGGTTTGGGAATCCTTTGGAATGGACTTTAAAAGGCTCAACTTGAAAAGCTGAGAGGATATCGCATTGCAAAATGAAACTTCGGAATTCTCCCACTCCGTAACAGGGGAAAAATGCTTTCAAAACATCAAAGCTGTTAGTAACTTTTGGAATAACTCTTGAAATGGTAAAATCAAACACTCAGAGATCCACAGAAACAGATCCAACTCAAATGCAGTTGGAGTGAGGGCTGGCAGCTGGTTTATAAATATGTTATTTTCTTGGCACATAAAAAATGAGATGTCCTACATGATCTGTGTCAGTGACCCAGTTCAGTCTAGAAGAGGTTATGAAAACTTACTAGGTTTCCTAACTACAGGAATGTAAGCCATGGGGTTGTCAGCTCATTTTGCCTGCTACATTATGCCACACCAGTGTGGTGGGCTATCAGAACAGAAATAGTGCGCAAACATAGTTGCAAAACTACACAAAGATGATGAACAAATGCCTTAGTAGAGTTTATCTTAGGAACTGTCTGATCTCAACTCCTAGCCTACTTCCCATCAAACCTACAGAACTAAATAATTGTTTTGCTTACCTCCTAAGGCCTTTCCTCTGCAGTCACAGTGACACTGTCACCACTGCAGATGTACTGACATCTGCTGCAAATAGAATTGACTATTTGTATCACACTTTTTGGCAACCAAGCATTTATTTTCTTAGGAGTGCTAGCAATTTACCATACTTTTGACTAAAATCTCTACCCCATGAAACCCCCAGGGGCCAAACCCTCCAACTTTGAACAATAACCAAGTGACTCTGAAGAAAGTCTCAAAGGGATTAATGGGAACTAAATAATTCTTGTGTCCGGGAACAGTGAAAGAATTCTTCCCCATTATTTTACACCTGGGAACACTTAACTCACACAGATGATATAAAATTAACTTTCCTTCTCAGATAAAAGCAGCAGATGAGAAGGCAAGCATGTTTAGCCAGCAGATCTGCATGGATACAAATCTGCCTGTACTTATTTCATATGTGGAATATACCTTGAGAAAACTAACTCTTTGAATAAGGCCTCCTCCTCTGCTCTTGAACAGTGGACAAATTGTTCCAACTACTTTTTTAGGTCCTCTGTGAAGAACACAAGATATGACATTTAGGGAAGATGTCTGTCAGGAAGGTCAGTGAATATTCTTCAACAGAAACACGGGAAGTTAGAACTGGAAGCAATTTTAACAGAGATTCTCATTCAAGTTCAGCGTATCTGCCAAATATAGGAGCACCTTGCATACGAGGGCAGGCTGAGAGACCTGGGGTTGTTCAGCCCGGAGAAGAGAAGGCTCTAGGGAGACCGTATAGCAGCCCGCCAGTACTTAAATGGGGCTAGAGGAGAGATGGGGAGGCACTCTTGATCAGGGAGTGTAGCAACAGGACGAGAGGTAACATTTTTAAGCTGAAAGAGGGTAGATTTAGATTAGATATTAGGAAGAATTTTTTTTCCTGTGAGGGTGGTGAGGCACTGGCCCAGCTTGTCCAGAGAAGTTGTGGATGCCCCATCCCTGGATGTGTTCAAGGCCAGGCTGGATGAGGCTTTGAGCAACCCAGGCTAGTGGAGGGTGTCCTTGCCCATGGCACGGGGGTTGGAACTAGATGATCCTTAAGGTCCCTTCCAACCCAAACCATTCTGTGATTCTACGATATTTCTGTGGGATAAATGCCTTGAGACCTTCTCTGACAGGTGTCCAAACTGCTCCTAAAAAAATCCACTGAAGTAAAATTTCCAGCAACCTGAAGCAGACAGTTCCAGGATTTCACTATCCTTCTTGCAAGACAGGCCTTTTTTGTAATATACACCCTAAATATTCTTTATTACATATTAAATAATTTCATACTTCCTTCAGCGCATAGACAGAACAATGTAAAACCATCAAGTCTTCCTCTTCTTTGGGTCTTTTCCTGTTGGTCTGGATTACTGCTAAAGGGTGCTGCCCAGAGCTGAACAGAATCCTCTACCTGAGGAATTACTGGTGCCAAATAGACTGAAATAATTAACCTTTGTTTTTTTCTTAATACATCACAGAATTACTTCCCTTGGTTTTTTTACAACATCGCATGATTTTTGTAATGCTCAGCAACTTTCACTTACTTTCCAGCAAATATAACCTTGTTACACAGATACTTCAACAGATATTTTCCACTTTATGAGTGCACTGACTCTTTCTTAAGTATAGCATGTTGCATTTGTCATTTTGAAAATAAAATGAGTTTATTCCCCCACATTGGATCTGGCCTTGTTAGATACTTATTACTCATCCAATTTAGGCCTCTGATCCAAATAAATTTAGAAAATCTATATAATTATAGGACTGTACTACCCTTGACCTTGACCCTTTGTTTTACTAGAAATACATTAAGTAATGGTTACAGCTGATGCTCACCGTCACAAAGAAGTGATTAGAAATCTATAGGACTGTACTACCCTTGACCAAGAAAATTGAGTTTGTTTTACTAGAAATACATTAAGTAATGGTTACAGCTGATGCTCACCGTCACAAAGAAGTGATTAGCTGCCACACTAAAACCAAAATAAAGCAAAGGAAAGCCTCCTCTCCTCTCCTTTTCCTCCATCCTCTAATTTTTAATATAACGACTTCATTACATCAGCTACATAGGTTTTCATAACAGAAGGCGCCAAGTGTCTGCTGCTCTGTCTTAACAATCTTTCCACTTCATAGTTTCTGGTAAGTGCAAAGTAACGCTAATGAAATGGCTCACAATGAGCACGACTTTAGTGCAGATACTTTATGTCACTATCTTCTTCCTCCTTTCCTTCAGTCTTCCTACTCCTGGCAACTGCCAGAAACAGGATACTGGCCAAGACTGTTCCTACACAACACAGCCATTCTCACATTTACTGTCATTCATGTGGCAACTTCTGCAACTCAGCATATGGCTATTTAACACATAAACAGCTACTATCAACTAACATGCAGTAATTTCACTGGGAGAGCTCTACAAATCTGCAGTTAATCATGCTGTAGCCCTGAGCACATGGACCTTATATGATCAACACACAGCACTGATATCACTTTACTGGTAAGCAGTATAATATTACAAACCCAGAAGTGGCGAATAATGTCTCTAATCCTCTTACACTAATACAAGTAAAATCAATACTTTTTCTCCTGGCTGTAGGAATAACAAAAGACTAACTTAACTTTCAGACTCTTAAGAATAACCTGCAGGGCTGGTTCTTAAAAATGCATCATTTTAATTAGAAAGTGAACTCATTCTGTATTATACCTATGGCACAATAGATATGAAAGACAACAGTATTATCGCACGGTTGCTTTTCAAAATGATAGATATAAATTAAACTGGGAAAATAAAACTTGGTCAGGAATATTTCTGACCTTTTATGTAAAATACTTTCTGGTTTTGTTTGCCTAGGTTATAGGTTCTCAACCTTATATGACTTTCTGTGGTCACCCTTGATTATAAAGATGTGCTATCATCTATCCAGGCTTTCTTGTAAATGTCTCTGATAAGTGATATCAATACTAAACACTTTGTCACTAGTGAATAGCTGTTTCTTCTCTCTCCCATCTTTGTCACTTTGACAGCTTCCCACCCACACACTGTTCAGTGCTCTTCCTACCCATGTGTTTTCTACTCTTCCTTTAAGTAGTCACATTTATTCTTGAGAAACTTTTGAATATTAATAAAAAGCACATTCAACTTGTGAGCAATTTTCTTCAGGCTTTGGAACATCAAATAAGGTGCTCCCAACCACATAAGGTATTATTGAACAATATACATAAACTAGTTATTTTTATATCATTTATTTTTGTTATCACCCTAATTTATTGGTGGAAAAATGACAGGTTTTGCCAGAAGAGAACAAATTGTGAATCCTTTTTATCCCATTGGACTTGATTTGCAACCTTAATTATTACTGTAATTTAAATGCTAACAACAAGCCCCTCTTAGATTCACAAAGCACTTGTACCCAATGCAATCCAAAAGTATGACATAACAAACAATGGATGCATACAACTTTATCCTTTAATACCTGAAATTTATTGAATTCCAGGGTAAAATATGTTAATGTTTTATAACTACCTACCTTAGAAAATAAATGCTATCAGAGAAATTGCAGCCTAGAAAATTTCTACGGTTAAATTCACTGAGATAAGAATTTCACTCTTAAGAAACCACAAATATAATTTTCATTAACATCAATCCAATAATTTTGTAGAACCAGAGTACTGCAAAAAATATTTTTTGTAAACACTGCAACTGAGTCTTCAGTAGTCACAAAAACAGGGTCCTAGTTTAATTTCTAAGCATCACATTTTATTGTTTTTTACTTTGGTATACAAGCCCAAAAGTTCAGAACTGTTCCTCATACTAAATCAGTTACTGGTTGTATAAACTTAAATGACTGGTTGTAAAATAACCAGTGATAAAATAATGCCCAATAAAAAGACTATTTAATTTCCTTGAAATTATTTTCTTAGTGTCTTTTACAAAGAAAGTAAGTAGAGGAAAATAATTAATCCAGCAGATATCTTCTTCTGGTGAAGAAGGGTGTTGTTAAAGACATACAAATTGGCCTTTGTAACCTGCAAGCTTAGGCTAAGGATTTTTACAAAACTAAGAGTTGCAGGGGAGAGCAAAGGTAAATGGGACTTTGCCCTGAAACAAGAAGGGTGCTGATGTACTTCAGGGTTAAAGAGAAACAAATTTATTCTCTATGAAACAGTCTTGACTACACAACCACGCTACACATGTGCTTAAAGCGGAACGGCACATGTCTTAAACTGTAGTGACTAATTGTGACTTGGTCCAAAAGCACTACATGCATGATTGTGCACAATTAATATTTTCGTCTCAAGGAACACCGCTGCAAAAGACTGATAGAGAGAAATAAACTGGTTGGAAATTGGACAAGACATGGGCAGATTCAGTAGAGAGCCAACAAAAAAAAAGGCTCCCCTTAGCTTCATCCACGGTTAGGCTTCAAAATCAGACCCATCATATGGCAGAAGTATCCACTGCATAATTCTCTGCAGCTTAAGAAAGAGATCGCAATTTTAAACAATTTTCTCAAAGGAAAGAAGAATATTTCAGTATGGCCCAAAAAGTGTACTTTTCCCTCATCTGCTTTCTCAAAATTGTTGGGGGAAATCAAAGTATGTTTCACCATGATATCCAGTACAGAAGTTTGATCCACATTACTTAATTTCAATAAAGTGAAAGTAAACAATCTTACAATGGTAAGAATCCCAGAACCTCCCCCATTCTAACTCACACTTTTGACATTATTTTTCTTAACAAAAATCTCTAACTGGTGAGTTTTTATTTATCCAGCAACATCAGATCACTTGGGGCTATACAAAGAGCTTCTTCAAGGCCCAGAAAAACAACTTGGGCCGTAATTGCAGTAATCTTTAGTTCAAACTTTGCAAATTAACTGTGACTCAAGAGAGCTGTGTACAGCACAGAGTAACATCAATCTACAATGGTATTCTTCATGTTTCTGCTCTGTTTGCATGGGGAGATAAAAACTGAGTTTACCAGCTGTATGTTCTTTTTCGTAAACACTGAACTTTTCCATGGGTTTTAAAGCAGAGCTCTAAGGGAATAATCTTGATATCTAACACAAAGTTTGATTAGGATTAGAAGTTTGGGATTAGTTTTCCCAAAAATCATGGGAAACAGAAGCCTTTATAGAAGGCAATTTTTCTACAGCTTAATACAAAATTCTGAGCATCTACCTGTTAGTTAGAAACCAGTGCATTTTTAGCTTAGTCTCGCTTCCTAAAGTTTCCCAGAAAAATCTTCAAGTACAGAATTAAATCTACAGTGCATTTTAACACAGTACATTTTGTTATTTGAAAGTGTTTTCTGTGTCATTTTTGGAACCTCTTACCCAGAACATCCTCCTCTTCGCTGTCATCTAAGTCAGTAGTTGCATGCCCGTTGATACAGATGAGCAAGATAAAGGTTAAAGGTAAGGAACATCCCTTCTTTCTTCCTTTCATCTTTCCTGTATAATATGTAAATAACAATACGCACTTTAATGAAATTCCTTGAGTGCTCTGCAAAAGTCATTAGCAGGGTAGTGCATAGCCACATGGTTAGATATACATACCAGGAGCTTTGGAAACAATGTGAGTTATGTTAGTATAATTATATTGTAACCACTAGGAAAAACAAGACAAGATTTACAGTTGCACTCAGCTGATTGCAAGTCTCCTATCCCATCTCCAGCACAGATCAGAAGCATTGCTATTATTTTTCTTTTAAGCCACAATTGAAATCACTTCCCAGCATACATAATGATACAAAATGTAACACTGTATTTCTAACGTCTTTATCAGTTTTACGTATGGCATGTCCAATCCTTCCAAGTAAGTTTTACTCCGTCTGCAGACCCTAGATTAATCGCCACAAACATAGGATTCCATTTTTAACAAATATTTCATTAATTTACAGTTACCATGTTCCTGGACTTTTGTGTTAGTTACATTTCACAGGAGTCTGTGAACTTTTTGCAACACGGCCTTCAACACTTTAAGAACATTTTGTATCTTCTAGATCCTTTTAATACAGAATACCTCACTTAAGTGCAGAGCTATTATCTTTCACATAGGATCAGTACAACCATAGTCATTCATACTAAGAAAATACTTCTATTCCATGGTAACTGGCATGTCCAAGTCACCACAGATGAGGTTATACATGCACATACGAGAGTACCTCTAGAAAACTTTAGCTTTAAACTTTCTTAGAAATATCTATTTTCCAACTAACTAAAAGTTGTTTAAGAATCTCTGAATTCTAATTAGATAGTAGGCTCAGTATCTCCTTTAGCTACCAACAGATAGATCTCCTACAGATATCCCCTTTCTTAAAGTATGACACTAAACTTCAGGTAAGTTAATTAATATTACCTTATTAGAAATTAAAGATTTAAGAACTAGGAAGTTCCTAGCCTTCAGACACTGTTTTGGTTTTAGTGTTTTTGTTTACATGCTTGTGAAGATAGCACATCTACATCTGAAACAGCGAGGGCAGGAGGGGCTATGGGAGGAGGTGAGATGACTTGTCACTGTGCTTGGGATACAACTTTATAGGAAGAAGGCTAAAGAGATCATGCTGAAGTGGCAGGTGACATTAATAGAAGGCATCTTTAACAGATCAAACTCTTCTCTCTGAGTGATATATCTTTCTATGAAGTTACAAGTAAATCATAGCTACGGTGTGTAAGAAAACACTAGCAAGCAATGATGTCTCAAGAAAGGTGAAATCCATACAAAGAGAGATTAACCAATTTGCCACAACCACTCTGAACTGTACCAGAGCCAGAAGGTTCAGTTATATCTTCAACACTAAATCAGAGCCAGGATTTAAATTTCTCTCTTATAATTTATAAATTTTTCCCTCCTGCCTACTCAGTGTTTTCCTAAATTGCAGCATGTAAAAAAGAAACACATTCTTAAAAATAAGTCTCGGTGAAATTACAGACCAGACCATGAGTAGCACTAGTTACTCAGCTAATTTTTCTAGTTGACAATTCAACTTTAGAAGGCTTGAGTATATTTTTTTTTTTTTTTTTTTTTTAAGAGGATTTTAGGATCAAAGGAATTTCTATTTTAGCCAGAAAATATGACAGTGTTAATTTTTTCATCACAATGCTTTCCTGCCAAAATAAACAAAAAATGCATTTGTCTTTCATTCCATTTAAGCTAAATTTTTAAGCTTAATTTCTACATTGACATATAAAATCCTTTATCCCGATAGCATGGCAAAATGTTTGGCAAAATAATTGAGATCTCATTTTGTGCTATTAATCATGATTTTTAAACAAACTTTCCTCAAATATTATCTTTTACTTCTATGATCAAATTCAGAAATTGTTGCTTTCTACTAGAGAGGCAATAACTACTCTTAGAATAGAAACCAACTTGTCCCAAATTCTGAAATGTTACTTGAACTGAGAAAAAACATGCAAGAGCTACAATCGCTCATTTTCAGGTATTTTTCAAAGAAACAGAAGTAGTGTCCTTATTCGTGTTTCTAATTGGAACCCCGGTTTTACATTCCTACACTATTTTACATGTTAAACTTAATCTAATAATGTCTTATTTTTCCCCTTTACCCAGCGACAAATTTCTAGCGACCTCATTGCTCCATTCAGAGTGAATAATCCACAAAAATTTTTTCCCCAACCTCTTTACTGGAGGAATTACTTATTGGCTGCTTGGCTGACCACAAGATATCCCTACAATATCGCTAATACACAGGGAAAAAACAACAGCACTGTGTTATGGATTTATCAGTTCACTTTAACATGCCAGATTCTTAGACTTAAATTACATTCATTAATGCTACTACCTACATTTATTTGTGTACTCCATGTGCTCCCATTTGCCTCGTTTTTTTTGTCAGTCTATTTGGAAGTCTATTGTTCATATGTCATGTTTATGTGCGAGTTAATTATTTCAATTTTTTAATGCCATTCTCCTCCGAGTTGTTGTCCCAATGTTATCTCACCATTGACTTTTTAAAAATATTACACCAATAAAAGGAAGAGTCTTTACTGAAATGCTCATTGCTATCCACTGAATACTTCTGAGTTACAGTACCCAACGTTTGCATGATCGCTCTTTAGGATATTCTCAGCATTTCTTGTCCTTATTCAGGCAGTTTTCAATTTTCCAGTCAAAGAACAGATATTTCCCCTTTTTTTTTTTTTCTGAGTACAGTACATACTATAACTTAAATTGAAAGCAAAGTAACTGTTCCAGACCAAGGGCAATGGCCAACCTTGACGTTACTGTCACAGCTTTGGGAAGTTTGCCCTGAACTTGACCGGCTTCTGTGAAAGTTTAATGCAAAACCATCCACAGAACTAGACCTCTCTATACACTACCTGCCACAAAATAGTGTCTTAGACTTCAGATGCTAGAAATAAATCACATATGTAATAAGCAAAGCTTTTAACGTATCAAAATAATACCATGTAAGAGCATAACACAAATCCAAAGTAAACTAAGGAAACACATTAAAAAGAGGTTCTGTTGACTGTATTTCTGCACAAAGTGAATAGAGAGAACAACGTTTCTTTTCAGCTTTCATAGTTCATTCTATGATTTCCAGAAACAGACTGCCTCTTACAATGCACTTGGTGTCATACCAGATTTTCTTCCATGCAAAGCTTTGTGGTACATGGTCTTGGAAAAATTTTCCTTTTTTTATCCAAAGGTTAAAGAAATAGTTACAGCAAATACGATTAAAAGTCCAGTCATGCTTTAAAAGAGGAATAAAGTAACTCTACCCAAGGTAACCTGAAGTTCCCTAAGATTGTCTTTAAAATTTGAGAGACATCCAAGTTATGATAATTTGATATTAACTAAAATTAAAATAAATCAACTAAGAAAAATAGTATGGGGAGAAATATTACGTAAAAAATGTCAAAAACTGCACAAGAATTAGTATTTAGCATTATAATGTAAATAAAGATGGTGATAGTTTAACATCATCTAGGCTGAAAAAAAGCAGAAATACCATCAAATATTCAGATTTGATACTTAGATAGTAATAACTGTCACATTTTGCCTGGCTCCTCTGAGTTCATGGGAATGACAAATTATAAAATATACTTTCAATTTTAGTTTTTGAAATTACATGGGAAAGGGAAATTTTCTAAGCACACTGTTTTCCTTAGAAGTTTTAATTTTTAATCATTGGCACAGTTGTGACCCTTCATAAAGGAACTCGCAAATTATCCACAACCTCATTTGCCCATGGATGAATTCCAAGTTTGACCCTGGACTCTCATTTCTATATGGGAGTTTTTCCAAACACGACAGTAAAACTCTCACTAGTTCAGGAAAATTCTATTTGAATTTGCTTTTGGGTCACTCAAGCTGAGGCCTTGGTTCCTTTTTCCAGGAATCTGCAGAGTATAGATTTGGATTGCAAAATTTAGTAATTCATTTTTACTGAGTCATCCAATATCCCCAAAGGAAGTTGTTTCCAAAAGGAAACAATCAGCCAGAAATGGAAATCCTCAATAAGTTTGTCTTTTTCATTTGAAAATAGAATTTTGTATGTCATGAGCTACCATTTAATAATTGTCACTGTGTGATTATGAGGATAAATTAGTGCATTTGTACACAGAACAAAAATCCTGCCAGGGTACAGTATTTCTATTCTTCCACTCAATTTCTACATTTCCATGAAGAGTATCTTGTCAAAAGTAGGGCTTCCTGATGTTTGGTAAATTTCCCAAGAGGAAAAATTTAGGCTGTATAACTGCATATCTGCCTTACTGCAAAGTCCACTGACCAAAGACATTCTCCTTTATCTTCTTGCTAACCTTCCCCTAAGGCCACACATTCCCAGGATATTGTGTCAGGTATGGGTGGAGGTGGGATGAAGCGGGGAAGGTTTTAGTACTGAAATGCTTAAATCCTTCTGTAGCTTAATTATTTCTTATAATTCCTAAAGGAAGAATGAAATCCAAGATCAAAGTGAACTTGGCACTGCTTTTTCAATTAAAAAACCCATACCTCTAGACAAGTCCAAGTTTTGCAATTTAACATTCAGCTGACCAGTAACACAACTTTAAATCTGTAAGCCTCTTATGATATTGATTTTATTTCCCCTTTTTTATGCATTCTGTTTATTTTTCTTGCATTTATATGAAAAGCAATGTAAAATACTTCATCTATGACATTTGTCTCAGTAAAATATGAAATACACACATTTGTGAAGGCCTGTCTATCACAGGAAAGATAGGAAATGTTTTGAGTTTAAATAATTCATGTTAAATGGTCTGATTATTTAGGCCAAATTCTGAAAATCTCTGGGAGTAAATATAGCCTCTTACTCCAGGTGGGTTCTAATTTTGGACAGCCAGGAATCAGTGCAGCATTAATACCAGCTTTTCTCTATATCAAAGTGTCATTAATGCAAATTTCTTAAATTCCTATGACATTTCCTTAGGCACTGGCACTCTCCTGCTCCCAGACTA